CAAATTTACAGAGGCACCTTACCCGAGTACTTACCCAGGCACTTGGGAGAGCCTCTGTAGTAATGCTGCTCCACAGAACAACACTCTCCACTCTCTCTCATACTTCTCTACTGTGTCCTTTTGCTGCTAAAGGACAGAACTGCAATTCTTAAGATTGATGCAATACTAAGGGGGTTGCTGTGTGCATTAAGAAACATCTGGATTACTGCTATAATTGCTACTTCAGGATGTCAGGAATCTAGAAAGTAAATGTTTTATTATAATATAGCACACATGCAGAACAGTACTAAATCAAAGGTGTACATTTTATCAACATTTTTAATGTGGGAATTTAAATTGTTAATGAACATATAATATAGAACATTGGAGAACATGATGCCACTAGGAGGAAAGATTATATATGAAATGCAGGAACCAGGGGTCTGGCTTTAGTCACAGGCTTGCTCTTGTCTGCATTATTTTTATGTTGGTTTTTTTGTTTGTTTGTTTGTTTTTATATGCATTCTTAATGATACTCAAGCATCTTGTAACATCCTGTACATAAGATGGTTTAGCATAGTTAGCCTCAAGATGACTTAGAACGATGTTTCAGTATTTAAAGGAGCTTAAAATACATGGAAATCTTTTCTCGATTGAAGCTGATTTGAAAGTTGGAACCCATGAACATGGCAGATAACCTTGAGTCAATAAAGGTTTCACAAAATATGCAAGGCAGACTCATTTATGTATTCACTAGACAGAAAGTCCATCCATCTTTGTGTGAACAATGCACAATGTACAAGAACCCCAGTTATTATTATCCATCACTTCCTTAACAGGAGGACTTTGAGTTTGTTTTTTCCTTTTTAAAAATGTTTTTTCTCTAATGATTGTGACATTTTATTTCCTCACCTGCTGAACTCTAAACTGTGTGTAAGTTGTAAATCGAAGACTTAAACCACATCAATTGTTGAAAAGTTTCACACAATGCATCTACCTTTGCCCCCACACACTTCCACTGTATGATTACATCAGGGCCCAAGTCTCCACCACTATCTGACCCTTGTTCACTTTCTTCCCTTGCCTCCACCCACCAAACTTTGTCCTTCCTGCCAAAGTTCAGCACTTCCTAGAAAAGTCTACTGCCTGTTTGATATTGTACTTCACTTTAGTCACCAAAGGAAGAATTTACAGGTGCTTGGCCCCATCTATAAGACCATGACCGAAATCTGACCTCCTGTTACAATACATGAACTTCTGCCCTACTGATAAGGCTGGCAGATATAAGTAGGATTTTTCAAATAATCCCTTGGGAATTTATACGCAGCACAGCCATAAAGGGGGTGAATGGAAGGTCGGTTTCACTAAAAATAATAAATATTGCCATGTTTATTCAAAGTGTGCCTTGTTATGCTCCAGGCCAAAAGTTCAGATAAACACTATTGTAAATGACAAAATATTACAACTTTTTGTTACTTCTGTTATGATCTTTCCGCTGAACACCAATAGAAATGTTTTCCCTGTGTAAGTTCCTGCCCTGGCATTGAATAAAATGTCCTGAGATGAGAATACTGGATTTGCCTGAGGGTCAAAAAAAAAGGGTGTTTACCTCTTACAATCAAAAACAAACACTGACTATGACATAGTGCTAATACTAATTGGTAAGGTCAAAGGCGAGAGTGACAAACTGAATAAACATTATACCTGCCCTAAAAGGGGTTACCATCTATTGATGAAGGACAATCTAGTAGAATATGATGATCAATGCAATAAACACAAAGACACACGACAGGCCTTACACAAATGTTGAGAACAGATCACTACTGAGCTCAGTTTACAATATTAGGAAAATTTGCTGGAAGACAAGTATAAGAATCAGGAAATTAAAATGAAACAGAATAAAAAAACAATGGATTAGGAGTGGTAACTGAGGTAGAAGGGCTAATGTGAAGAAAGGATGACAACTGCAAAATGCTTCAGAATTTGAAAGCAAGGTGATAAGCAGCAAGAAATGTGGAGGACCTCTAAAGAGCCATAGGCTGTGCTTTCTTCAATTATTTTGGTGTTTTACAAGATAGATGATCAATAAGATTAAGCAGGTAACCCATGTTAGACATAACTAGGACTTTGGCAGGAGCTAAGTGTCTGAGATTGGGGGTAGAGGAAACACTTAAGGTGATGACTTTCACTAGCTATAATAAGTAGCTGAATGGAGGCAATGGCCTTATGATGATGGGGAAAATAAGATAAAGTTCAATAATATTCATAAGACCTGCAGGTCTAGATATGGTACTAAGGTAAAATCAACAAGAGTGTGGCTTTCTAACTGGTGATTAGAACAATCTTTTTATAGCTTCAAGACCACTGAAATTTCAGAAGTCTGCAGGAGCAGTGAAGTGTGAAAGACTCATCATGATGTTGTTTCTACTATCTGTGTACTCTCCAACAGGCAAACAAGCTGCTGTCATTAGGGGAGACTGAACCCAGATCCTCACTCAAAGTTAAGGACATGCTCCACCAACGAGCCCACCCTCCGTTCTAGCACACAAACAAATGAACATCAAGAAACAGCAGTGGCACAAAGAGAATGCTGAGGATAGTGAAGGGCAGCAAGATGAGCTGACAAATCCAAATGAAGAAATGAAGACAATATTGGAATGGAAGGACTTAGTCCTATAGAGTTTATGTTCTTATTCTCCAGTCTTCAGTAGTCAAACTGTTCTTTTTCTCAAGGTCTATGATTAATGTTTACTATATAAAATGAGAACATTGTAATACATACTTATGTTGAATAAACAATAAAAACAAGGAAATCATGAAATTTTCAGGCAAACGGTGGGAACTGGAAAAGATCATCCTGAGTGAGGTAACCCAGAAGCAGAAAGACACACATGGTATATGCTCACTTATAAGTGGATATTATACATGTAATATAGGATAAACATACTATAATCTGTACACCTAATGGAGCTAAGCAAGAAGGAGGACCCTGGGTAAGATACTCAATCCTCATTCAGATTCCAATCCTCAGGCATTGGAAGAGGCAACAGGACAGGAGCCTACCACAGAGGCCTCTGAAAGACTCTACCCAGCAGGGTATCAAAGTAGATGCTGAGACTCATAGCCAAACTTTGGGCAGAGTGCATGGAATCTTATGAAAGAATGGTGAGATAGAGGGGACAGAGCTCCACAAGGAGAGCAACAGAACCAAAAAATCTGGGCCCAGGAGTATTTTCTGAGACTGATACTCCAACCAAGGACCATTCATGGAGATAACCTAGAACCCCTGCACAGATATAACCCATGACAGCTCAGTCTTCAATATGAACTCAGTGGCTGGCTCTTTGATCACCTCTCCCTGAAGGGGGGAGGGGCAGCCTTGCCAGGCCACAGAGGAAGACAATGCAGACAGTCCTGATGAGACCTGATAGCCTAAGGGTCAGATGGAAGGGGAGGAGGTCCTCCCCTATCAGTGGACTGGGGAAGGGGCATGAGAGGAGAAGAGGGAGGAAGGGCAGGATTGGGAGAAGGCAAGAGAGGGGCTACAGCTGTGATACAAAGTAAATAAATTGTAACAAATAAAAAAGTTAAAAATAAAATAAAATCTAGAGTTCCTGCGTACATAAATATGTCTATATTTCATAGTGCATGCTTCTGAAAATACTAGTGCTGCATCTAAACATCAGACAACTGTCATTTATTAAATATCAATAATTTGCCAAGGACTGAACTGACATCATTTCACTGTCAACAACCACACTACACAGGAAATTATTTTCCCATTTCACACATAAGTGTGCTAGACCACCCTAATGCATACAACTAGTAAATGCGCAAGTGAATGACTTCTCGGATAGAATTCTCACTTGAAGCAAATCTGTTTTGTTTTCATAAAAACTTAACAAAACTTTATAAAAAGCAGCGCACAGTGGTAAAACAGCACTGTCACATTATTGTCATCCCAAAAATGCACTTCCATTCTGGCTCACAGCAATCATTTAAAGCATAAAATCTCACTTATGTAGACATTCATGCATATCCTAATCCACTTCATGCAGAAGAGAAATTAGATGAGTATTAAGAACTCACAGAGATACACATATGCCATTTTCACCAGCACAGTGAGTAACAGAACACTTAAGATAATGTAAGGGAGTCTATCATCTTGGAACAGGAGGGATTGGAGGGAGTTGCTCTGAGATTGGGGGAATCAGTGCTTATTTTTGAGTTTGTTTAGGTTTACTTTTGGTTGTTTTACGGAAGTTCAGACATTATGAAGTATTAAGTTTAAAATTGATGGGCCTGATTACATCAAAATTAAAGATGTTCATTTCAAGAAACAGAAACATAAACAGGAGGGATGTTTACAACACCCTACACTGTCATTATCAACTACACAGAAAGAATTTCTAAAATTTCTCTTTCCAAGAAAAAAAAAAAAAAAGACGTAAGAAACCCTAAATAAACATTAACCAAGGTTTAGAAGAAATAAGTATGATGTGATTAATGTGTCTATAAAGAAGGCACAGTTTGATACCAGCGGCCAAAGAAATACAAACATCTATTAAGACGACACTCAGAGCCACCGGCTCTGCTCACCTGTGCATCTCCATGCAGGTGGATGGCCACAGTGGGGAAACGGCCGCTTCCTAAGATTCTATTAGCACCACACTATTGCCCTTTCAGAAAATTTCTTTTACCAGTACTTTATAAAACAAAAGGAGTAATTGTCAAAAAATGTAAATGCTTTTCATAAATATTTTAATGTATAAAAACAGGTTATTCTAGGTTACAGAAATATGAATACATTCCTATTTGTAACCTACCAATCTGCTGATGTCTCTTTGAAATGTCATCAGCTACGTAGCATTTTACATGGCAAATATAAACAAGACTCAAGAAGGAAGTACTTAATACTCATTAAACAAAACTTTGTTAAAAAGCAAATAAAAATAGTAATAATAATTCAGAACTTGGGGTTCAGCACACATCTTTATCAGGAAGATCAGATCAACACTCACCAGGACAGAGTATATGTGCAGACACCGATATACAGGAGAGAAATCCACCAAGTCTTGAGCTCCAGGTACCTAAAAGCATACAATTACAAAAATATCAAGGTTATTATAGGAAAACTACATTAACTTTCTTTTTTAATACTCAAGTGGTTACTTGTTTTCACAGCCAGATATATACTGTAAGTGGGAATTTCAAAACAAAAGAATCATGTAGAGATGGCTCAGCAATTACGAGTGCTTGCTGCTCTTTCAGAGGACCTGAGGTCAGTTCCCAGCACCTACATAATATAACTTACAACCACCTGTAACTCTAGTTCCAGGGGATCCAAAACTGTCTTCGTGTGTCCATGAGTGCCCACACACAGTTGGCATACACATAAAGAAACACACATACATACACATAAATTAAAAAGAAAAAATAAACCCAGAAAAAAAAGCATTCCTGAGTTCAAAGTCACATATTTAGGTGCATGAAATTCTGTCTCAAAATCACATACATGCACACACAAAGAGAGAGAGAGAGAGAGAGGGAGAGAGAGAGAGAGAAAACAGTAAAAAATCTTAGCTCTTTTACTGTAGTACAAGACTAATAAGCTGTGCTAATGGGGTCCAGGTGTCACAGTCAAAGATGAGAAGAGAAACCTGATGTCTTTCCCTTCAGAGACACATGTGGGCCAAGGACCACCAGGGGAAGTGCAAAGATGGAGCTGTGACTTTGGTGACCTGACTCTCCTTCTAAAATGCATACAGTTTATGTAAAAGCCAAGTTTCCAGTGTCAAAGAGAAACTTGCTATACAAGACAAATGTTTTAATGGACAGACAGTTATTAGAGGTCATAAGTATTAAAATGTGTAAGTCATTTTCATCAAAGTACAGAAGTTATATAGAAAGGCAAGGACACTGTGTTAAAAATGAGACGAGAAAAGCAAAGTCAAACCAAGAAGTTATTCAACAAATTTTAAAGTAATAATGAGTGGTATGTTGACTAAACTTACACATCAAAATAAAAAGCAAAAATCAGGTGTTAACTAAAATCATTTCTTATAACTAATAGGAATTTGCCAGATGACTTGACAAGGAGGAAGTCAGAATGGACTTTCATCTAAATTTCCTCAACTAAGAAAGGAAACCATCATTTGTCAGACACAGATTCAATAAGAATAAAAAAAGGACCTGAAAATACATGTTAAACAAAATGAAAAGGGGGAAAAAAAAAGAAAGAGAAACAGTACATAAGTAATTACAATAAAGACCTAGCTGGTTTTTCCTGTCACAACGGTAACTGTGAATCATCAGCACAAAACCAGCAGACACATCTAAGCTGGGTTAGACTGACTAATGGTTACAGTGCTGGTTCCCTTTCTTTTATAAAGCAAACACTGACTATTCTTTGGGGCACAGCTTCTCTAACCAAGACTTTTCTCTTACTGAAATGTTCTTTGTTCTATACAGAGCACTGCCATGCTCACGGCCTGAACCACCTGGCACTCTACCTTCTGCTGTGCTTCACCAGTCATACCGTAGGTCTCCTACATTTAAGCTCTGATTTAAGCTCTCAGACTGATGAGGCCTCTGAAGCAAAACAGCTGCTGTGGGAACCAAAAGACTCTATGCCGTAGGGTCGCTTATTTCAAGTGACCAATTACTTCTATAGTCACATAGATACAGCATGAAAACGTTACGAACATTTATCTTGCCAGAAAACAAGAGCTAAAAGCTATATAAAGCACATCATCTAAATAAAAAAATTTTGAAGATTTATAATAGTATTTAAACTACATAAAATAATGTTTGCACACAAAAAAAGACAAAGGAAATATGTAGAGAAAAGATGACTCTATGCAGGAAATGAGATCACTTATTCAGCGTAAGTGTGGTTACTTATATGTCAGAAGTCTGGAGAACTCTCCTAATTTTCAGCCTCTGCCTTGTTTCACGGGTTCTTTATGTAGCTTGTTTCTGTAGGTTCACTTTGGCACAGAGCCAGTCCCTCTCAAAAATGAAACTACTTGAAGCCATTCTTCAGGCAGAACCCTACCTAACCCAGTGACTTGTCAGAGCCATCCTTACAGAATAAACAGCGAAAGTAAGGCGAAATTTCCTGGAGAGCTGTGATAAATAAGCTGGCAGTCCCCATTAAAAAAAAAGGCATTTCATTGCTAATGGGTAGAATTGGTGTATCCCCACTAATGGTTTGTAAAAGCTACCTCTTGCAAGGTGACAAAGTTCTTCCCTGTCATCAGCACCAAGTCTGTTTTCTGACTATTAACAATGTCCTGACCCATTATTTCTTGGCCCCAAAACTAACATACAGATAAACTCTCCCACATACAGGCCCAATTGTCTGCTTTGAAAGGTCCACAGAGAGAGCTAGGCAAGAGGTAGAGGAACAAAAAAAGAGGTTCCAGCTCACCAACTCTCCCTCCCTCACAAACAGCCCAATATTTAGAAACTGTTTTTTTCGTCCCTGCTCCCCTCGGAGCGCATACTAGGAGTGCGCACTGTGAGGGCGCAGAATGCTGTGAGGGTAGAGGCATGTCAAGTATGCACTGACTCATGTTGCTTTGAGCTGGATGTGTTTTCTCTGCTTCTACTAATGAAAAAGAATCACTTACATCTACAGAAGGCAAGAGAGGAAGAGCAACAAGCACTGCGTGAAGGAATGTCACCCTTCTGCAAGATGGAATGCAGTTTCCAGAATAAAAACACGGGTGGAGGAAAGCTCTGGACAAAGCAGCTGCCCGGGGCACGAGCAGTGACACGTCTGCTCTCCATACTCTCCTGGAGTGCTGGGTTCCTATTTTCTTCCTCCCTCCTTTCTTTGTCTCCCCTCACTTAAGTTGCATAGAATGATTGAAGCAGACTTGGGTTTCGTCAGGGAGGGGCCCAAGGACACCCTTTGAAGCTAACAATGACTGTCTCTAATGTTTTCTGTCTCCTAACAAAAGCCATGACTCTTTTATCAGCTTCATCTAAATTTTCCTTTCCAAAGTAAATAACAAGGCCCTTGCATTTTACACATGTCCAAGTTTGACAAATCATTTTCCACGGGGACTGGAACTGACAAGAGATGACGTTGTGGTAGGGCCCTGTCATTTCCTCTTATAAGGGCTTTCTCTGAGGCTACAACAACATGATTAAAATAGTTAAACATTTCCTGTGCCTTGCAGTCAGGGACTCAAGACATTAGGAGTATTTTTCTAGAAGTTCAAATAGACCTAGGAAGACACCAGCAGTGACCACAAACAGTACACAGGACATGACCCTGCTTTGTGTCTAATATTAAGAATTCCCATGAAATCACTTCATCACCAAGGACAGCAGCTGCCCAACTGCACAGGTCCAAGAGCAGTTAACGCTTCCCACCAGCCAAACACGCAGGAATTTCACAATAAAGCAACTGTTGGTAAAATTTTAATGGTACAGCTACGATTTGTGCCCCCAGAAACTGTAATATAAGAAACACAAGCACTTCTTAACAAAACAAATAATAGCTACTAAAAGGGATATTAGAGTGGCTGGCACAACACAGAAACAGACAGGGAAGCAATTAGTGCAACTTAGAACCATTTTCCTATCACGCGGACAGTAACAGTTTCAACCAAGACAATGCTTTCCAACTTTTATCTACAGAATATGTGTTAAGCAGCATTTACATACACACAGAAGCCATCACGCAAGGATCAACATGACTCAAGGACAGAAGACAGACTAAGAAAATCAAATGTATAAGTGAAATTAATAAACCCTGAAAACGATCCTATATCTATGTAGGCATTATTGCCTGAAGAATGTTTGAAGACTTAGAATAGATGTAGACTATCTCACAGTCAGGAAGAAAAGAATTAACATTTCTGATCATGAAATTTTTTAAGAAATACCAGGATCTGATTTGTAAACTATCTTTCCTTCTGTAATAGAACGGCTTTAGGTAAAAGGAGGTCTCTGAGAATGGAAAATGACTAATGTAAGTTTTCATCAAGCATAAGGGGACAATATTTACATAAAAGATTTCTGATTTCAAGGAAGTGATGCCACTCAAGCTTCAACTGATGCTTCACATAATATTTTGCTAACCGTCCCTTCCACAGAAAGAGTCTCAGTGAGCAACTACTTCCCCTGTTTTAAAGACTCACTAAAGAAGCCTAGTTAAGACTGGATTGTCCTAGCAAGCCCAGGAGGCTCAGGCAGAAGGACCTTGAGTTTGAAAACAGGCTGCACTACATATCCAGACCTTGTCTCAAGAACAAAAATCTGTAAACAAACTTTTCTAACCCGATAAATGTTCCTGCTTTGTTGTTGGATAAGCATACCCTTATACAAGGGAAACTAAATACAAGAGAAAGTTCCTTTCTTCCCTGCACCCCAAAACAAGAACAAAAACAAAACAAAACAAACAAACAAACAAAAAAAAAACAGACTATGATTCTCCTGCACTGTTTATCAACATAGAACATTTTTAGTTCACTCCAACCTTGCTCTTCACACCTTTGCCCCAGAGGACAAACACAAATACCAGCTCTCACTAACCCTTGTACACATTCCTCATTTACTTTGCTCTTAAAAACCTTTCAAAGTAGATGGATTGAAGAGACAGGCTTGTAGGAACTTAGGTATGTTTCTCACTAATTATCTAAGCCATGTTCCACCTTCAAAATCCTTCTGATTGCCACTTCACACAGAGCAGTTTCTTGGCATTAGCAAATAACTGCAGGACCTGGGGCTCATTTCTAAGCATTAGAAATGATCTGAAGTCATTAAAATGTACCAGGCATTTTCTGCAGGGAGTGGACAAGAAATGACTAGCTAGAGAGACTCGGCCTTTGCATTCAGAGATTCCACTGAAGCAGCCCATATTATGTTTGGAAACCAAGAAATACCTGGCAGATATTTTTTAGCAGGATTCTTTCTGAACTACTTTGACTCCAGAAGTCTAGAGGAAAAAAAAAGGGTAAAATTCATTTGAACATAAGATCTCACAAAGGAGACTAAATACCACAGACTACCAACAAACCAGGAGGACTAGGATCCTAAAGTAACAGAAAATAATGTCAGTACACTAATGCTCTAG